ACTACCCCTCCTTCATTTGCGTTGGATATGTTGTGCTGCTGCTCACAAATATTGAATTTGTATGCTCATCTTCTGGGTTTCCTTCTCCATGTCAGAAAGTTGGGTTACTATTAATTAATTCCAATTTATTTAAACCTAGTTGGGAAGTTACAACAAAATTCCTGGGTTTATTGTTTTCAAGTTCTGGTGGAGAACAACTATCGGCTACCAGCAAGAGTTCTAAATCTATTCCTCTGACTCAACACAAGTTATACTGATAATTTAGTGACTTACACTAATCAATAATCAAATAGTTTCATTTTTATTAAATAAAGGCTGTAAAAAATAATAATCTTGCTTTTCACTAGCCATGATTCTCTTTGCTCTTGTTCATCAATCCTTTTAGTTTTTTTTGCTAACCTAACCACTGTAACTAACTAAGATCTTTGATTTACTGATATAATAAGATTTTAATATGTATGTAAAAACGTAGCCTTTAAACAAGATAGAGGAATGAATTTTGATTTAATCCTTTGATCTAGTCATGTTTTTTAGATAGCTAATGATTTTTTTTTAACTTCTCACAGTGTTGATAAACAAGAAAATTCCAAAGAAAAAAACAAAACAAAACGAGAAGACAAAACTAACATAGTATAATAATAATTATTATTATTGCTATTTATTCATGAGTTAATTTTATTTTATAAACAAAAAAAACATTTTTTTTTCTTTTAGGATGTGTGTAGGGATAGACAACTAGATATGAAGATATGAAACGTGAGGTAACAGTGTTTTTAGCTGGTTGTGGTACGTACTATTAAAAAAAGAAAGACATAAGAATTAAATTAATTAAACAATAAACTAGAATAAAAATGACATAATAATCAAATTAGTTAAGCAATAAATTAGAAAAGTAGGAGAATATATATAACTTTTATTGATGAGGTCAACCTTTATGTATATAAACTTCTCTTATTTATATAATATGATTTAAAAGTAAATTTATCTTTTAAATATATCATCACAATTTTAATCTTAATATCTGTATATATGACAAAATTATATATTATCATCTTTGAAATAAATTTAAATACTATAATATGGATAGAAAATTTCACAATTTAAAAATATTAAATTTAAATTATTTAATTAATTTATTTATTTTCAAAATAATTTATTTAAATAATTAATTTTGATTTATCAAATTTTAATTTTTATAAATTAATTTAATTGGCATAAAATATTATATGTATATTAAATAATTAAAAAGTATTAATCACTTACTATTTCATCAATATTGATCCATTTGTCAAAAATTCAATCGATGTTAAAGGAATTTTTCTATCAATACTAGTAGATGTTATTTTAGACAAATATTAATTATAATTATTTCAATTAATGTTTGATAGAAAAAATCTCCTAATAGTCAGTATTAAGCGAAAGTTTTTCCGTCAATGATTAAAAGAAAGAAAAATATGGATAAACTTTATACAAAAAGCATCAATTAGGAATATAAATCGAAAATCATTTTAATAAAACATAACCTCAATTAACATAAAAAAAATTACTAATATTACACGAAAAATAACTCAATCTATATATTAATAGAGAAAATCATCACTAACATGGTTGAGAGATATCTTGGCCTGTATTTTAAAAAAATAATTAATTCAAACTTACTTAATTATATATATATATATATATATATATATATATATATATATATATATATATATATATATATATATATATAATAATGTTAAAGTTCCACATCGCCTACCCCGTGTCATTTGATATGGTTTAAATATATGTTAGACAATTGGTTTTATGTTGGAACCTTAACATGGTATCGTAGCCAAAACCTAACATCTTTCCTAGGTTATTGTCATAGGTCAGGCAAAAAGTTACCCTTTAGTTGGATCAAAAGTACCATTTGCCTGATCCGACATGACATTTGATATAATTTAAATACATGTTAAGCTACTTCACATATTGACATTCTTGATAAGAAAATAAATTTGATAATTTTAAAAAAATAACATAAATAATTTTGATTTTAAAAATACATGTAGATATCGACGTTTTAATTTCAATTAAATTAATATATTAACTAATATCAAATAAGAAATATATCAATCTCGATAATTAATTAAAATTGAATTGAAAAATAATTTGATTAATATACTGATACGAAGTATTACTCCTCAAAAGTTCTTCTTTGATCAATACTATTACTTCTTAAGTTATTCTCCTTCTGTAATTTTAATATTTTCTTTTATTGATTGTCTACTTGAATCTGGACTTTCATTCTTAATACTCCATATTCGATCACTACAAGAAATTTTGATATTACCGACGGTCAAAATCCGTCGGTAATAACAAAAATCCGTCTGTAATATCCATTTACCGATCGGATTTTCGACTTACAAAAATCCGTCGGAAATATTTTTATTATTTATTAAATATTTTACTTATATAGATTATTTATTTTATAGAATACCCCTTCCCTTTATATTTTTATTATTTATTATTTTTTCCGGGATTCGAACCCAAGATCTTAGAGTTAGAGGCCGATACTCCAACCACTAAGCTACTCAGCATTTTTTCGATAATAATTTACAAATAAATTATATTTATATACAAATATATTTATATACAAATATATTTATATACAAATATATTTATATTCAAATATATTTATATATTTATATATATTTATATATTTATATATTTATATATTTATATATATTTATATATTTATATATATTTATATATATTTATATATTTATATATATTTATATATTTATATATATTTATATATTTATATATATTTATATATATTTATATATTTATATATTTATATATTTATATATTTATATATTTATATATTTATATATTTATATATTTATATATTTATATATTTATATATTTATATATTTATATATTTATATATTTATATATTTATATATTTATATATTTATATATTTATATATTTATATATTTATATATTTATATATTTATATATTTATATATTTATATATTTATATATTTATATATTTATATATTTATATATTTATATATTTATATTTTTATATATTTATATTTTTATATTTTTATATATTTATATATTTATATTTTTTTATATTTATATATTTATATATTTATATATTTATATTTATATATATATATATTTATATATATATATATATATATTTATATATATATATATATTTATATATATATATATATATTTATATATATATATATATATATATATATATATATATATATTTATATATTTATATATTTATATACAATTAAATATTTTTATATGTTTTTATATATTTTTATATATTTATATATAATTAAATATTTATTTTTTAAAATTATTTAATTTAAGAAATTATTATAAATTAATCTAATTTTGATTAAATGAAATTATTAAATAAAAAATATTAAATTTTTTTAATTAGTTAAATATTTACTAATTGATAATTTACCAACGGAAATATCCGTCGGTAATTTACAGATGAATTTACCGACGGATATATCCGTCGGTAATTAATTATTAATTTATCGACTGATTTACCGACGGATATATCTATCAATAAATTCATCCATCAATTACTGACGGATTTATCGACGGATATATCCGTCTGTAACTAATTATTATTTTACTTGACGGATATATCCGTCGGTAAGATCAAATTCCACAAATATTTTATATCCGTCGGTAATTTTCGTCGGTAATAATTATTTTCCAACGGATACAAATCCGTCGGTAAATATCCGTCGGTAATACGCGATTTTCTTGTAGTGGATTATTACGTAAATTTAAATAGGATTCTTGGAATCATATATCTAAGAAAGAAAGACTTATCATATGTTCATCTCTTAAGATTAGTTACATTTTGAGGTGTATTATTTTGGCATTACACGAATATATATATATATATATATATATATATATATATATATATAGAGAGAGAGAGAGAGAGAGAGAGAGAGAGATGTTAAAAGAATATTACAAATATTCAAATTGTTATTTATTTTCTCTTAAATTTGAATTTTTATAATTTGAATCAAACAAATCAATCTTATAATTTTTTAAAATTCAAATAATTTAAAGAAAAGTAACAAAAGAATATATGTTATCATAAAATTTATGAAATAAAATTAATCTCTAAAAAGTTGCATGTAATAAAAGGGCAAATGAAATGGTGTAGTTGACAAATTACTTGGTATTATATTTCCTGAATAAATAAATGAAGGAAGCAATGAGTATATGAAACTGATTGGAAAGTAAAGGGAAAGGGGAAGTAGGTTGAAGAGCAGAAAAGGAAGATGCCTTATTTGTGGTGGGTTTCCTCTGCATCTTTTCTAACAAAGTCAAATAATGATGCTACAACTTTATGGAGGTGCTGGATTTTGTGGATGGAATGCCACAATTTAAAGTCAAGCACTTAACACTTAAGGAGGGAAAAACCAATTAGCAACTTAGTTTTGGCAGACAAACTTCATTTTGGTAGAAGAAGAAGAAGAAGAAAAAGAGTGGGTTAATTTGGGTTGGTGGGTCTTTGACCAAATTAACGCACAAGAGGCACAAGGAAATAAATAAGCGAAAGCATTGAAGAAAAATGATGGAGAAGAGTAATTGAAGTGTGGGTAGAAAGGGGAAAAAAAATGACAGTTGTGTGTGGGTGTATGCATGAAATGGTAGAAAAGAAAAAAAACAGGGACCACAGGACATGAGTGGTAGGATTGAGAACAACTTTCTGGGCAGAAAGGCATGGGATTGGGTATGACATTGCTTTGATGGTGTGATGATGATGATGATGAACATGGATTAATTCCAGAGTTGGTGCAGTAGGTTCCCTCACCAAGCCCCCACCATAGTTTTGTTAGATATTAGACCACGTAGAAACTTGGGCATATTGATATATGATAATGTTCCACATGTCAGCATAAAGTATGGTGTTTGGGTCCCAAATTTAGCCTCCATTTCCTCCCCCCCCCCACAATCAACTTTGTCTTTTGCTTTCCAATGCCAATGCCAATGCCATGGGCCTTGTCATTTCCTCAACACCAACCAATCCTTCCATTTCAATTCCTTTGTAGACAGTGTCCCCAACATGGCCACTAGCTTCTTGATAGAGATGTCGTGTGAAACATTTATGCATATTCATCTAACCTCTTCCCACATTTATTATCACTCTATAATCCTTTTTTTCTTCTTCTTTTGCTTCAATCTCTCTTCCATCAAAATCTAATTCACACATATGCCCACTTCCTTTCTTTTACTCGCTTTTTTACCTTCTTGTCTGAAACTATGTTTTAAAATCTATCCTATGATCAGATTTTTAAGTTTTAAAATACCCTTTTTCCCACTATATAAATATATTATTTTAAGACGTAATAAGAAGAAGAACATTTATTAGACATGATGGATACCCAAATAATGAACATTTCTGTTCTTAATAGGAATTAGTTTTCCGCACACGTTTCAATATAAACTTTAACTTACTTTTTATGCATCATTGGGATATAATTTGCATACTGTCAACTAATTCAAAATCATCATTAGTATGACTTTTAAAATTGCTGTCATAAAAGTCAATATATATATATATATATATATATATATATAATAAATTCTGATTAAATAATAATATAAAAATACAAAATTTACATATGATATTTAATTTCATTAAAAAAAATCCAAATTCAGACGTTGATAATGATCGGATGTATTTAAATTGATATGATTATAACGTTAATTTTGATTTAAGGTGCATCCTTAGATTTTATAAAGTTATTGTTCCATTTATTTATTTATGTGGGGGAGTTTAAGTCTTTAAAAAATAAATCTAAAATTAGATATTTTTATATAATTAATGAATAAGTTATACTTAAATGTATCACTTGAAAGAGGATGTTACTTAGTATGGTACATAGGATACATATAATAGTAAATTTTATGATTATTGACATATTTAATTATAACTTATTATTTTATGATGTACTTGTGTCATCTCTTAATGAAGTTGAAAGTTGAATGAGAGATTTTATTTGAACCAGAAAATTATCAAGAGGTAGTATTGGAAACTTCTATTTTACTCAATTTGGTTTTTAGTGAATATAATGTGCATGTTAAACATATAGTTGTTTATATAATTATTAACATCAAATAGATTATATGGTGAAAGAGGAATGAGAATAAATTTAATAAGTTTCTCAGTTATAATCCACTGATAGATTTGGTTAAGAGCAGCAATATTCTGCAGGTTGTATGAAGTATGAAGAATAATGTCAAACAATTTCAACTGTAAAATTCTTTAATATTCAAATACACAAACATATATACTGTTATCCAAATGTATCATGTTTTTGGTATTTGTTGAACTATGGCACGTACGGTGAATGTAAATGTAATCCCTAAAATTTAAAATGTTTTTTATATTTATAATTTTAATTTTTTAAAATTTTTTTGAAAAATATAATAATTTATTAAATATGTATTAAATAAAATATTATATATAATTATGATTTTATTTAATTTCCTATAAATATTAAAATATATAGTTAAATTAATAATAAGAAGATGTTATATATTTTGTTTTCAAATTTTGTTTTCATTTATTTCTCTATTATATATTATCTTAATTCCAAAAACTATTAATAACTGAACCAAACTACGTATTAAACTTACGAATTGATTTTTCTTTTATATTCTCATAAAATCTCATAATTCTAGACTATGAGTTTATGAGATGTACTTCTTTCTACAAATGATTTGAGATGTACTTCATTTAACAAACATAGTCATAATATATTTATTAGCACGTGTAATTGTTGTTATTATATTATTTATTGTTACGTAAATATGGATTCCAAATTGATCATGACTGAATTGATTATTAGATTATATATATTTAATCTCATCAAATAATATTTTAAAATTCGTAAAATAGTTATAATAATGTTTTCCCCACATCCACCTCTATGAAAAAGGTGAAAGAATTTTAAATAATTCCTTTTTTCACCAAATTATACAATAATAATAAATACTTGACAGGAACTGAAATCGAAATTTATTATTTTATAAAGATAAAAAATAATTATGACAAATTTATTAAAAAGGAGAAAAATGACTCAATTTTGACTTTTATTAAATTTCTTCCTTACCAAAATAAAAAATATGATGACCGACAAGTTGTTCGTTGTCTAATAAATATGATCAAAATTTTATAAATAAAATAATATTGAAAAACATTTTTTGTAATGAAAACGGAATAAATGTTTGTGATAAATGTATTTATGTTTTGGTAATATAAGAAAAGTGTGAAAGAAAAATTGATGAAGATAATGTGGAAAAAAAGAAGAAGAAGATATGAAGAGTATTTTGGAAGAGAAAGTTAGGGTTTGGAAAAAGACACATAATTTCCATTTGAGGAGAGAGCATGGGAGTGGTTGTGGGAATTTTGTATTCGCAAACAAAGTGGGTTGTTGCGTTCCCATCCGCTCCTGGACCCTGCTTCCTACGTCACTCTCATCCCCAGAACGTGCTTCCACGCGCGAAACAAGTTAAACATAATCAATGGAAGTAACACGTGTCAGAAAAGGGGTAAATCAGAAAAATGGGTCCTGTCTAATAGATCCCAACATATTAATTCCATTGACTCTTTATTTCTTCCCTCTTTCTCCCTCTCCCACTTTCATATATTTTTTTATTACTCTTACTAATCACTTCATAATTCTCTAAATTCTTCGTATTAAACTGGCTTATGGTAAAGCTAAACGAATAGGCAATAAGTTAACTTTTTATACAAAAGTGAAAACGAGGTTAATTCAATTCAATCACTGGGAATCGCTAAAATAATTTTACGTTGAGTTATGTTGCATTTGAGTGTAAAAAGAGGGTATTTAAAAGTGATATGTTTGAAAAAAAAGGTAAAAATGGTAGAAAATAATAGAGAGGAGAAAGGAGAAGAATGTCTCTCTTTCTCTGAAATGAGGGGTGTGTGAATGGCTGCTAGCTAGCATGGTGGAAAGCTGTCCACTCTCATTGTCTTTCTCCAAAAATAGCAACTCACAATTCCAATCTCTTCAATTTTCCATCCCAGTTGAGTAAATCCACTTTCATCTTCACTTCACACTACTTCATTTCTATCTTCCACTGTTTGCAAACTCTCTCTCACTCACACTCACTCACTGCCTTTCCTTTTCTCGCCCCCTCTTTCTCTTTCAGTATACTTTTCCCGATTCTCTATCTTTCCCTCCTTCAACTCTGCTTCACCACCCTCACACCCTCTTTGTCTTCACCATATTCACCTATTTGTTTTCTTCTACGTTTCTTTCCCCCTTCTTTTCACGTGCTCTTCTCGCACCTTGTCCCTTTCTAGTTCTTCACTCACGGCTTCTTCTTTCCTCCTTTAATCCCTTTGGTTTCTCCTAAATCGAAGACCTTCATGGCTTTAGGAGAGTAAATTCATGTCTTTCTTTGTTGGGTAATGTAAAACAATGCTTTTTCAGTCGTTGCCTTTCTGCTCAACTGAGGCAACATGACCCGAAATTCAGTCTCTACCTGGCCATAGCGAATTAGGAACACTGTTAGGATACTATTCGAGAGTCAATTGTTGTTTGGTCCTGTCTAATTGTCTTGCGCCTACCCTGTTTCTTTTGCATGTGATGGAATCTTGGAGCTATGTCCCTGAAGAAAAGGAGTGTGTCTCCAATGAGGCACTATCCCCTCCCAACACTCTCGGGAGGAACAAAAATTCTTTCTTGGGCTGGGAACTCAAAACCCCATGTGGTTTTTCCAACGACATGTTGGGTTTGGGTCAGCACACCATTGAAAATCAAGGTTTTGAGGAATTGGGTTTTCCTGAAATGTTGGGGAAACACTTGTCCGATGATCTAATTGCCAGTGTTCCAAGCAGAAAGCTGGATGCTAGTAGACAACACCAACATCAACACCAACACCAACACAGTGACAGAATCACTGGCACTGTTGTGGATGCCCCAAGTGGCTTTTCTCAAAGAGGGGACTCAATTTCCAAGCTTTCAAACTCAAATTCCCTCATTGATTTGAAACTGGGTCGATTTGCTGACCATGGAGATGCCACTGATCCGGGGTTTTCCAAAATTTTGTCGTCTTCTGAGTCATCAACGCCTCCTAAGAGAGTGAGAGCTTCAGGGATTCACTCTCAGACTGCATATTGCCAAGTCTATGGCTGTAACAAGGATCTCAGCTCCTGTAAAGACTACCACAAGAGGCACAAGGTGTGTGAGGTTCACTCCAAGACTGCCACCGTTATAGTCAATGGTATTGAGCAAAGGTTTTGCCAGCAATGTAGTAGGTTGGTCAAGTTTTCAACCGTTCATCTTGCAATTCCAAGCTGCTAAATATGTATTACCATGACTTGTCTCTGTTTGGTTCCTATTGGAATACTATACCATTACTCTTTACCTACTCAATACTATGTCATATTGGTTTTAAAGGCTTTATCTGCTTTGCTTTGCATCAATTTCCTTTCCCATTTATATACGATTAAGGTTACTTATTTTGCTACTTAATTGGACAAGTTTGAAATGAGAAACTGTGTTGTTTAGATATATAGTTTTGTTGTAATGTTTAGTATATGATCCAGGTTTCATTTGTTGGCTGAATTTGATGATGGTAAGCGAAGCTGCCGTAAACGCCTTGCAGGTCATAATGAGCGTAGAAGAAAGCCACAAATGGGGATTCACCCCGGAAAGTCTGGGAGGTTGCTTCAGCCATGTGGGGGTAATAATATATATTCTTAAAATAGTTCATGATATAACTCTCCCTCGCCTACCCTTCCCTTTTCTCTTAAATTCCCGTCTTCCTTTAGGTCACATGCACATTCAACCTTGCATTCTTCATTGATTAAATTTCATGTGATTGGCTGCTTAATTATAACTTTGTTGGCACTAAAATATGTAGAAGCACGCCTTTGAAAAGGTGGTTTCTTTTCTTTGTCCATTTCTACCTTTTCAAAGGCTTCATAATCGTCCATACAGCCTCAGGAATGATTCAAAGTTTTTGTTTGCCTTTCTGTTTAACTTCTCAATTTTGATTCCCGTCCATACTGTGGTACATTTGTCATACAGTTTTCTGTCAGGTTTCATTCTGATGTCAATGTCACTATTAACACTGTGTTCACACAGCCACACTTAAGAACATGTAATGTGGTCCAACTTGTATATTATATCTAGAGGTAATCTGCACTTTGGTGTCCTGCATTGTCACCCACCCAACAGAATAAATGGGAATTTTTAAATACTGATTTCCCTGATGAATATATATCTATAACATATGCAGTGCCATCTCATCGCCCCATTTGTTTCAAAATGTTATTCTTCATTTATTTTCTGTTTTGGCCATGTGTAAGCTAACTTTTTTTATCTTTGGGTACATTGTCTGAACTAGTTTTGACTTGGATTCTTTTGTTAGCAAATGTTAAGTGACTTGTTCAACAAAAAATGGTGTTATCTCTTAAGGGGAATGTCCTTCAACCAGGTGAGGTTGACTATATGAACCACGCAAATGTCTTTCTACTCGGTTAAAAAAATTTCAAGGGTGTTATTTACCATGAGATGTCTGTTGAAAAAAAATTCTTCCAATGTCCGTCTTGGTCTACCTCTCCTCCTTCACATGACTAAAACCCATGCAATCTAAACTTCTCTCCGCACAGCTGCCACACCTCCATCTCCCTTTTGATGAGTCATTAACATGTCTGATTATTAACAACATGAAGCCCTATCAACCGGAAATAACTTATCAGTTTTTATTCCATATTACTAACCCTAATATTCTATGGTATAGCTCAACTGTTGCTAGAACATCAATTTGTTTTACAAAATTTCTAGTTGTTTTAATATTCAGAAACTCTTGAATTGGTTTTTAAACTGTATGTATGGGACGCATGCCTAAATTCTAAATCTATTTTGTTTCTTAATTAAATTTTAAACCGTTTCATTTAATCATAGTAGTTAATTAAGATGGTTTCACGATTCTTGGAAGAACTGATTCCTTGAGGCCAGTTTTCTCTACTTATATAGTCATCTGATATTAGTAAAGTTGTTTGAATTGGATAAGGATCATGTGGTTGCAGATAGCAGATTCCAGGGAACCATGCTAACATCATCTTTTATCCGCCCAGAGATGCTTCCTAGTGGGGTCATGTGTTCTGAGAAATATGCTATGAGTGGCTTCTGGAGACCTATCAAAGCAGAACACGGGGCTGGTTTTAGGAATCTTTCTTCTGTGCCTGTATCCAATGGGAATCCTCAGTCAAGATCTTTATTTCCATCATATAACGGAAAACAATTTCCTTTTCTTCATGAAAATGGTGCAACATCCACCACAGGAAGCATCTTCTATGAGAGCACTAACCACTATCCACCTGCCCTCGGGGCACAAAATTCTGGGTTAAGACCACTATTCCAGGATACCATAGGAAATGAGGACTTCAATGTTTTTGATACAGCATCAACTGTTCAAGGATTATCGGGGATTTCAGACTCTTGTTGTGCTCTCTCTCTTCTGTCATCTCAATCCCAGAACTCTTCAAGCCAATCATCAGGAATTCCCTTGGCCCACTCCTTGGTTATTCCAAGCAGTCATGGCCATCACTACAACATGAGTCAGGTCTCTGAAAAGATAGGAATAAGCTCACAGACTTCTTCAAGCCGAGTGTCAGATAGTTTTCCTTCAGAACTAAATCATGCAGATGGAAGTCATCTCAGTCCTGTATTAATATCAGACAATAATGATATTGTAAACTTTGATATGGCAGATGGTATCTTCCATGGTTCAGAATTCATGAATGTGAAGGATCGACTTTCCTGCGAAGATAGTGCAACCATCGACTTGCTACAATTGTCATCACAGCTTCAGCGAGTTGAGCATGAGAGGCAATCTTTGCAGGTGAAGCAAGAGAATGATTCTTCCTGCACTCTGCGGATTACATAAAATGATCCGGAAGAGGTACGTTTTCCTGTTTTGTGAAAATTTACTGACCTGATTTTCTCTATGCAGACTACGTTGGCACTTTGCTGCAGGTAAATTTGTGGTTAGCACTGCACATTATGCACTACCTCTCTATCATGCTTCCTCAATTCCTCTGCTTTACGACGAAAATGGAAAAATTATATTCGGAGCCATCATTTAAGGCTCTATTTTATCAATGACTAATTAAATTGTGTGAACTACCACATCAGTGAAAGAAATGTTTCCTTATTCAATTTTTCTTTAAATTGTAGATCTTTTAACATACTTTTCCGATCTAATTTTGATATCGGTGTCAAAACTGTACAGATGATGTAGTGTAACATTAACAATATATTATTGAATCTAAGTATAGAGGATTTTTTTAATAAATTTAATTAACTGTTATGATTAATGAACGATGATGTGATTCAAGATATTGCATTCTATACGAAGTATATTTACATAAACGGTATTTGGAGGATGAAATTTTCATTTTCTACTTGATGCAGGAAACAAATTGTGCAGCATGCGACAGACACATTAGGCCAGTGATCATAGACAGCGTAGGAATCTCAAATGGTGCTATTTTCATCAGTTGTTAACTATTTAATGTAGTTTGCTTGTGCTGATTCGGTTCAAGAACTTTTCTGCAGAATAATCTATGATATTAGTGGGGACACAATTGTCCCAAGTGTAATATATCCATCTGGATCTAATAAACAAAAGCCTTGGATGTAACAAAACGTGCTTGTCATGGCATAAAACTTTCAAATCAGGACTACTGTTTACTAGAATTGATCATGACATTTTTTGTCGTCCTGAAATTTGAATCCTGCACGGATACTGTGACAATAAAGACAAACTTTAGGTGTAATATTTTATGTTTCCTACTATTATTTAATTAAAATTAGAGTTTCTGTCATTGGAATGTGGAAGGTAAGCATATATATTTTTTATGCATATATTCTGAAAAAGTAACTTTTGATGTGACAAGCGATTCATAATCATGAATAATTAATCTGTTTGAGAAGCGGGTCCCCAAATTCAACATACTCTGTTTGAGAAGCTGGAGCCAATATCGTAGGTATGGGTGCCACTCTCTGTTCATGCCATTAACCATTTTCATGCAAGGACGTAAATCCTTCAAAATACTCGTCTTGTTCATTACCATGTACACACCACACTAGGGTGATTATCCAGTGTCAATCAATGTTATTACAATCAAAATTTCAAAAGAGAGGTACCGACACGTTAAAAAGTTTAAGATCGTGCCAAAAACTGAACTGATACATCAGAACATTATTATCATGCGAAAGGGAAATCATTTTCAAACATCAATTTTCCGCCACGTGTTACTTAAACTATGCGAAATAATCACACAAAACATTATCATCTAACAACGAAGTCTAACCAATCATGTTTATATTTTCATAATTAAAATAAATTTACTTGATTATAACATATATTATTTATACATATTTTTTTTCACAACAAAGTATTTTGCAGGACCAACTCCAACATTTCTCTAATCGTATTTGAAGGTATGAATGCCTTTTTATTACAAACCAATAAAAGTAACCATCTATACCTAAAATCACAAACAATGGGTTTAAATTTTAGTATTTTAAATTTGGAAAAATATTATTTAACAACTGGGTGTTAAAATTGATTGTTAACTGATGTATATTCCACTTAAAAGTTGTGAATCTATCATTATCCTTTAAATTTTATAATTACAAAATCCAGTCTTTTTTTTTTTCAATTTCAATATTAAACATGAAAAATATACAAGTATAAATGGAATGTACAGCTATTACAGCCAATATTCTTACACATTACGTGATGATACATGATCTAAGGGGATGATACATGTATAATGGATGCTGACTCACACATCCCACGTCGAGCACTCACTCTCAAGACCTTCTTCACACTTTACCCGTGCAACAGAATCACGTCTCCACTCTCTCTCCTTTCTCTTATTTTGTTTTTCCAATTCCAATTTTGTTTCCTTTCTTTTTGGCTTGATTGCTCGGCTATAAAAGCTAACGCATTGTATTGAATTGAAAGTAGAAAAATATACAAAATTTTTAGCTTATAAGTTGTTTCCTTTTTATGGCTTTTTTAGTTTTATGGTATCGAGAGTTTGAAATTTAAGAGCTTTGTAGTTTTTTTTTTCCATGGCTAGAGGAGGAGGCACTCCAGGCAATGGGGGAGGATGACATCCACCACCACCTCCACCTCAGGACTTTGCTCTCAACCCACTCAACAAATATTACATCCATTCTGGGGAGCATCCCTCAACACCATTGGTTTCACCATTGTTGACAGTGAAGAATTACCATAGTTGGTCCAGGGCTATGAAGAGGTCCTTGATCTCTAAAAATAAGCTCAAGCTCGTGAACGGTTTCTTACCACACTACCTTCCACCTTTGACCCAAGTTATGCTGCTTGGGAAAGACAATAACTTAGTGCTATCATGGATTCTGAACTCTATGGATCCAATCCTTTCTCAAAGTATCGAATATGTAGAGGTTGTTGCTACTGCTTGGAAGCTGCTTAAGGACAGATTTTCACAAGGAGATAGGGTGAGAATTTTTGAGTTACAAGAAGAACTCATGACCATGAAACAAGACTGTGTTTGTCCCATGAAATGCGCATATGTTTCTAGCAAATTCAGAGAAGAAGATTGTATAATGAAGTTTTTGAGAGTGGCCTGAATGAAGAATTTGATGTGGTTAGAAAACAAATTTTGATGATGGAACCATTTCCAGATGAGAACAAAGCTTTGTCTCTAGTATTACAACATGAAAGGAGAATTGGAGGAAGTAATAGTACTGAGGAGCAAGCCTTTGTCAATGTGGCAGATGGGAGAGCACCTTATGGTAGAGGAAAAGGAAGTCCCAGTTATAATTCTGGGAACAAAGGTAACTTCAAGTTGTGCAGTTTCTGTGGAAAATCTGGACACACAGTGGATACATGCTACAAAAAGCATGGATATCCAAACAATTTCAAAGGAAAGCCATTCAATAGCACCAACAGGGTGATGTCTGGATCCATAGAAGAAAATGTAGATGATACAACCTCCAACAAGGATTCAATACACAGCCCCCACAGTTCTCACCTGAGCAGTATAAAGCTCTCTTGGCTCTTCTACAGTCTTCTACCTTTGTTAGTCCTCGGGGAGTAATCAGGTTGCTACTTTTACTACTTCTCAAAATACAAATCTTCCTCAAAACTCAAGTAAAGCAAACTCCCTTCTCTATACAGTTAATTCCATTAAATCTTGCACATGGATACTAGATTCAGGTGCAACTGATCATATTTGCTCTAATAAGTCTCTATTTACCTTCTTAAAACCATTAAAATCTCAATCAATATCTGTCAAACTTCCAAATGGAAATACTGTGTTAGCAACACATTCTGGTAAAGTCCAACTAAATTCTCATTTGATTGAGTCATGTCTTGTTTGTGTCAAATTTTTCTCTGAACATTATTTCTGTTTCCAAATTAATTTCCTCTTTGAATTGTACTCTTGTTTTCTTGTCTAATGGTTGCCTCATTCAGGAAATGAAATCTTCGAAGATGATTAGTTTTGCTGATGAGATGGATGGACCGTACTACTTAACCAAGACTTGTCAGAAACCTGTCACCAACTTCTCACACCTTAACACCAGCTCAACATGCAATTTCTCTTATCCTCCAAATGCTTTGTGGCATTTTAGACTAGGACACATTTCAGATTCTAGATTAAACATGTTATCAAATTTGTACCCATTCATAAATGATTGTACTCACAAACATGTGTGTGATGTTTGCCATTTTGCCAAACAAAGAAAACTTCCTTTTGCAATTAGCAGTTCCAAAGCTTTCAAACCCTTTGATTTATTGCACTTAGACATTTGGGAGCCTTATAGAATTCCTACTGTTAATCATCAAAGATATTTTCTGACTATTGTAAATGATTACAGTAGGTATACTTGGATTGTTTTGTTAAAAAAACAAGTCTTAGATAGAACAATCTTTGAAAAAAATTTCAAAGCTAATAGAAAGGCAATTTGACAGTAAAATTAAAATAATAAGAACTGACAATGGTACTAAATTTTTCTTAAAATCTTTCTACCAAGAAGAAGGAATAATTCACCAAACTTCTTGTGTAGAAACCCACAACAGAATGGTAGGGTGGAAAGGAGACACCAAACCATTTAGAATGTGGCAAGAACCTTATTATTTCAAGAAAATTTACCTAAAAACTTTTGGGGTTTCGTCATCACTCATGCAATCCACTTAATAAATAGAGTTCCAACTCAAGTTTTAGAATCAAGGTCTCCATATCAAGTACTGCATGGTGAAATGCCTGACGTAAAACACCTAAGAGTTTTTGGATGCTTGTGCTATGCTTCTACTCTTTCTATGCACAGAAAAAAATTTAATTCTAGAGCTCAAAAGTGTATTTTTATTGGTTTTAAACCAGGTACAAAGGGATATTTGGTTTATGATTTGAATAAAAAAAGGCACATGTTTCTAGAAATGTTAAATTTGAAGAATCTGTTTTTCCCTATGTTCTAAATACCACAAAATCTGGTGATTTCTCTATGCCTCAGTGTATTTCAATTCCATATTCTCATTCACCTTCATTGAGCCTTGACCCAACACAGACACAAGAATACAATACAAACACCACATCCACATATACTGAGGCATCTCCCACAGAACCAATATCTCAAGTGGAACCCATCACACCCTTAAGAAGATCCCTCAGAAACAGAACAAGGCCTACGTACTTGCAAGACTACCACTGCAGTACATCCATCTCCTCTTAGCATCCACGTCCAGGTAAAACTTGTTGGCAAAATTTGGGTCATGTATATATATGATACATAATTTAAATGTGTTAGGGCCATTATTTATTAAGTCAAATAATAAAGTGATCTGACTAAATTAAAGTTTTGGCTAAAAGCATATGTCATGAAAATAAAATT